CATTGAGGTAGGAATAACAACTCTGATGCCCCACAACAGACAACCCTGGAAAGTGGATAACTCATGCTTCTTGAGCCAGAAACTCTGGAACTCAGTACCTGGACAACTCTCCGGCCATCCAGACAAAACTCATGACAGCACACGAGTGAGTGTGAAATCCATGGCTGATTCAGCAGCCACATCCCTGGCATTTAAGGGAGACTCAGGCAACGCCTGAATGGAAAGAATGTTGATGGCAGGGGCAGGGTCAGCTTCTACCATTTGTAAAGGTAATCTACTTAGGCCATCAGCGTGGCCCATTTCCTTGCTTTCACCCTAATGGGAGTGACAGTGGGGTCCAGTTTCAAAGAAACTGGGGGGCCTTTGTAAGCTCCCAGCTGGGGGCTGAAGACATCTGCAAACTCTTTGCAGACTTCTTGTAGGCCTGGCGTTTGCAAATTGTGTAGCCCTGTAAATTGGATTCCCAAGGCCTCAAACCAATCGAGTCCAATGAGACTCATTCGTTCACCCCCAATTACCAATACATCTAATGGACCTTCAAAATCCTTGTATTGTACTGTAAGGGTGGCCTTAACACACACCTTGGAATTTTGGAAGTCTGTTAAGACTATATTGGATGGCCTAAGCTTGGCCTGGAACCCACTGCTAGAGCAAATCTTTCTGAAAGTGTGGATAGAAATGATTGAAAGGGCAGACCCAGTGTCCAGTTCCATAACCAATGGAACTCCTTGCAACTTGGCCTTAAGTGACAATTTCTTTTTAAGTGGCCTGTGTGTGCCTGTCCTATAGATGCTTCTACGTGATGCACAGAAACCCACCCTGTTTTGGCTGGGGACCCTGGTAACTTTCAGGCACAATTCTTCTCGGGGTTGTACCTTCTGACGGCCCAGACACACAGCTGCTATGTGGCCTTGCTTGCCACATGCTCTACAGATTGCAGAACGGAACCTGCAGTCGGTCCTCTTGTGGTGACCTCCACATCTGAAGTACTTGGGTACAGCTGAAGACTTTTCTTTGCCTTCCTTCTGCTTCCTTTCTCTGGATGGGTAGAGATGATCCACCTCATCTTCAGGATCTTCTTCCGAGCTCTCCTGGACTCCCTCATGGTGCATGGAGAGTGCTTCTGGGTTGTTCCTGATAGGCCTCATATTCTTGACCGCCCCACCTGCTGCTTCTTCTGCAGTGACCTCTCTCAAAGCATCTTGGAAGGAAATGTCTTCTTTTGCAAAGAGTCTCTGTTGCAAGTCTCTGTTCCTAAGCCCGCATACAAATCGGTCTCTCAGCCTTTCTTCTAAATCTTTAAAGTCACAAGGCTTAGCTGCTCTTCTCAAGACTGCAATGTATTCTTTGGCTGATTCACCAGCTCTTTGATCCCTCTGTTCAAATATGTGTCTCCACGCAATAACAGATAACTTGGGCTGAAAATGTTCCTTCAATAACTTCTTTAAATCTGTGTGACAGATTCAAGAGGAGCAGGGGCTGCCAAATTTTCTGCAATTTCAAATGCATCTTGACCATAGACACACAGCAAAGTAGCGGCCTTCGAGCCATCTTCTCTAACTTGATTCACTCTAAAGTAATTTTCTACTCTAGCAACATAAGAGTCCCATCTTTCTGGGTGAGTAATGTCGAATTCAGACAGTCTCCGTATCTTCGCCATTCTTGCTTCTTACTCTAGGAAGGGGTCTATCAGCCAGCTTACCTCCAGCAACGCTGTACTGGCAGGCCAGGTGCTGAGTTTAACGCCGTCTTCCTCTCTCCAGGACTCTTGGGGTAAGCTTACAAATCTTCTTCTTTGATCTTGTAAGCGATCCCACCTTCATCGCCAGTGTTGAGTCCTCGAGTCAACGGCGAATGAAGAGCACACATTCTGTAATTCCAACAGCCTTTTATTCTCAGTAGTTCTCTCTTAAACACAACTCTGAGGCTCGCAGGCCTCTCTGTCTCCTTTAATAGAATCCCTGGGCAAAAAGGTAACAATCTGGCGCGCTTCTACGCCTTGCGCATGTGCGCAAGGCCAGCGCCACTCAGTCTGGTCCCGGGCAGCTTGCAACAGCCCGGGACCATTGCAACATCCCGAGCCTGCCTTTGCAGGCTCAGGACACAACAGTATGTGTACCACCAGTTGAAAAGCTCTGCTCTAGGTCACATCAGCAAATAATTGTATTCTCTGGAACCCCAAAGACATGCCTGCTGCATGACTGTCCCCTTCCTTCTCATGGCCCAGACCCTTGCTTCCATTAGGAAAGCAGTGAAGTCATAGTTTTTCAATGAGTCCTGGGACAGGCTGTGATCTGTGATCCTGCTGGAATATGTTGCTTGTGTTGCTCTTTTCCAATATTCACTAAATTTATCTGCTTTAAACTGATCTTTTATTTTTGCACATTGGCTGCAGTTGTTTCATCAATTGAAGCAAAGTAGTCAAGGCTGGGAAATAGTGGAAAAGAAATGGGGCATCCACAAAGGGGATTAAAACAGTCAAGATAATAGATGTGCTACAGACAGATTCTCTCATCTGGGTTTATTTAATATAGTATTTTTTTAATGGGAAGCCATAATTATTTGTAAGGGGAAAGAACTTATCAGTTTTTTTAAATTTATTTTTCAGCATCCAGCAAAGATGGATTCTTTGTAATTAATTTTGGATATATTGTGGGGTCCCCCCCTTTTTTGCACACTAAGAATTTTTTTCTCCTTTTTTGTTAATGTTGAATTTTTTTTTCTGTTGTTAATTTTACTCTTGTTGTTAAATGAAAATAAATGCCCAAATAATAATAGAATTGCTATATGTAAAAAGAGGAGGGGTTTCAATTGTGCAGGTGCAGCTACCATATTTATCTTTATATTGCCCCCAAATATGGGTGTCCCTGATTAAAAGCGTCAAGATGGAACTAGTCTCCTGAGCAAAAACTGATTTTTGTTTAGTGAAACTGCTTGAAAATGAGGGGAAATTGCTTCTCTTCAAAAGAACACAATTTTTTTCAAAGCAAAACACCTTTTCAAAACTCTGCATAACTCTATTCAATTGTTCTGATTCATTATTGATTGCTATATTTTATATTGCCTGTCTATTTAAAGCATATGTAATGTAATATTTATAGAATAATCCAATTTATGAGGGGAGCCCCATTGAGTTCAGTAATGTGTGAGTAGGACACACAGAGAAACATATTGTAAGAAGAAAAATATGGTCTATTTTAATGCCACTGTGGCACAAATCTCTACATATTACTAAAACTATTATTGTTACGATCTTTAACTGGATGAAACAGTGCATCATAGGGCAACTGGTTTTGAAGGGAGGGAGGAAGGGAGGGAGGGAGGGAGGAAGGAAGGAAAGAAGGAAGGAAGGAAGGAAGGAAGGAAGGAAGGAAGGAAGGAAGGAAAGAAAGAAATTTCTGATGTTCCCTACCAGTTTTCCACAAGGAAACTTAGTGGGGAAGCCAGCAGGAACTCAGAAGTCACTCCTGCTCCCACTGTTGTTGTTTTTTTGCCTACTTGTGGTCATTTTGGTTCTCTGTTTAGGTAAAGGAAATACCTCTGAAATGATGATCCAACAGGTGTTGTGTACTCATCTATATAATTGTGTGTGATCAGAAACCTTTTTCTTTTTGTAAGCAGAAAGTTATTATTGATTTTTGGACTTGGATCTGGAGTGGAGGAGCTGGAAAATCTGAGGCTAATTCAGCTTTGGAAAATTTTCCTATGACAGGAAATTCAAAAGCAGACATAGTTTATGTTTTTGTCTTACATGATGAATTTATCAAGACTGAGAGCATTGCTGAAGCAGCTTAGATAAACAGGCTTTGGCAAGATTGCCAACCACATAGATCACAAAAACAGTGAAGAAATAGAAACCCCAAAAATGCTGCATGCCTGGATCGTGTTGCCTCAGTTGGAAAGAAACATGAGTCCTCTGTCAAAACATAACACAATACAGAAAGGTAACCATGTAATCATATAGACCAAGATCTGAGTCAGTCTCAAATGTGACCTTCCTAATTGCTGCCTGTGACAACATTGGACAAATAAGATCAATTGGGAAGACATTTATGTTCTGTGGATCACTTTCTCTTTTTAGAAAAAAAAGATTGTGTTTTTTATTTATACAACAAAATCCATATTTTTTTAAAGCAATAATACAAGGGCTGTGTTTCAGGCTTGTGTCCCCAAGACTGGTTGCAACTGTATTCATCATTTCAGCTCTCAATCTGTGGAATATTTCTTTTGAGGACTTGTGTTTGCTTAACAATCTTTCTGCTGTTGGAAAGCGCTTTAAATGGTTATCTCTTTAATGTAGCATTCTGTTTGTTTGGAAGATGATTTTATTGTAGGTTTTTTTTGTCTTTTTAGTCATGATTTTAAATGTATGATTTTAATTAAGTCTAGGGGGTGTGTGGTGGCTCAGTGGTTAAAAAAGCTAGAATGTTGACAACCTGGGTTCAAGACCCAAGTGCCATGCAATGGAGTGAGCTCCTGCTACTTGCCCCAGCTCCTGCCCAACTAGCAGTTCAAAAGCATGCAAATGCGAGTAGATAAATAGGTACCACTTTAGTGGGAAAGATAATAGTGTTCCATGCATGTTGGTGTATAGTCATGCTGGCCAAATAACCATGGAATTGTTTTCAGACAATGCTGGCACTCTTGGCCATGGAATGGAGATGAACACTGCCCCTAGGGTTGGATACAATTGGTCAGGGGAAAAGTTCATCTTTACCTAATTTGGTCTATTTTTTTGTTTGTTTTATTCTTAATTGCTTTTTCAATTGGAAATGTCATGTATAAAACCAGCTAGCCTTTGCCCTAGTTTCAAAATCAGATCTGTGAAAAATAGTATATAATTTATAGCTGGAGCTCTCAAATCCTGACAGACGTACTGAAAAAATTGTGCATGCAGGCATTTTTGTAATTCTAGAAGTGACACTCAAACACCCACTGGTATTTTGACAACAGTATCGAGAAATGACTAATATCTTTTTTTTTTTTTGATGCATTTTAAGGTGCTTCCTGTCTGAGGAGTTTCAGAAGCTGAAATATACAGTTGTATCAGCATCATTAACTGACTAATACAAATTTACCAACAAATTTACAGACTTCCAGATGGACAGCTTCAGATGTAAGGCAGCAAACTATGTCTGAAAGCCACATACAGTAGGTATAATGAGATCTCACTGTTGTAAGATTCAAGATTTATGTGATCTTTGTTTATAGCACTTAACACCAGCCTCATGAGAGGCTAAACGCAACTGGAGATGGTTAGGAGGGGGTCAGGGGGAAATGCCAGAGCTAAAAGCAAGACTGAAAATGAGTAAAAAATTTTGGAAGACGGCACTGGAAAACCATTTCCATAACACTGCCAAAAATACTGCATGGATACATGCAAGAAGTCACCCAAAGTTGAATTCAACTTGAAAGTGTTAACTATAGTGTCAAAGACTTGAGATGTAAATATTACTTATTGTTGGGAATGGCCATACTCCCTGGTTTATACTGGATTGACTCAAAAAATAGCAGAACAGCCTAGGCACCAAGATTATGGATGCTTACTAATTCTGAGTGGGAAAGTACATGGAAGAGATAGCTCTACACCCCTTACATCCATGAGAAAGTCCTTGCCTATTGAGCCTACAGTGTAAGAATGACTCTTATTTGTCACTACATGGGAATTAATTTATAAGATGAATACTTTCTATAAATATATTCTGCATTGATATGCATATCTATTCTCATAGCCCCTCAAATTAGTATAACACTAAGATGGAAACTTTCTTCAGGTTCCAATTTTAATCCTAGTCTGAGGTACATTTTGTGTTTCATCTTCACCTTTTCCTCTCTCTCTCCTTTGGAGATCAATCAAGAATGGCATTTGGTCTTTATCAAAGAGAACAATTTGCTCTCAGGTCAAAATTCTAGCTTCATTTTGTTTGGACATTTTACCTATCCACCCACTCCCCTCCACACAACTTTGTGAAACAGTACATTTTTCCCTGGCTAGACCCTAGAGCTGGCTCGAGTGCTATGGAACAATTAGATGCGTTTAATCAAAAAGCTTCTTGACTCACACTCTTCTTTGCGCCCCTGCAAAAGTGATCAGGGGTTATATTGATTCATTTTACCAACAACTGCAGAACAAGTGAAAGGCTATGACTTGTTTGACAAGTACATTGTGCTGGCTTGTAGGGAATGTAAATAAGCTTTGCTTATTGTTCTGCAATCATTATGCTAAGTGACCATGAAAATTATATATACACACCACATTCACTAAATATATGAGCCTTGTGGGGAAAACTGTTCCTTTAGAAAAAAAAAGCTGATGTTGATGTTGACACCTCTTAATCTCAAAGAAGAAAACAGAGGTCTAGAACCACAGAGCTTCTGCTTTTTTTTGTTACAAGTGAGTGAAAGAAAGCAAAAAAGCTGTAAATCATGGCTTTGAGGGGGAGAGGTTGTTAACTTAAGCTTTAAAGTGGCTCTTAGTAATAGGAATGTTAAGTTGTTATCTGTCACTCATCATATAGATAGTCCAACTTATGACCACAATTGAGCCCAAAATATCTGTTGCTAAGCAAGACATTTATTAAGTGAGCTTTGTTCCATTTTATCACCTTTCTTGCCACAGTCGTTAAATGAATCACTGCAGTTAAGTTAGTAATAAGATTCTTAAGTGAATCTGGCCTCATCATTGATTTTCCTTGTCAGCAGGTTGCAAAAGAGGATCACATGATCCTGGGACATTGCAATTGTCATAAATATGAACCTGTTGCCAATCATCTGAATTTTGATCACATGACCATGGGGATGCTGCAATGGTTGTAAGTATGAAAAATGATCATAAGTTATTATTTTTTTTCAGTGCCATTATAACTACAACTGATCACTAAATGTAAGATGAGGACTACCTGTACTTTCTAGGACAGGGTTTCTAGAGTTTTTGCCATCACACCTCCCCTAAAAATCCAAAGAACCAAAAAGAACACTAAGAATGAAAGCAATACAATGAAACTTTGGGAAAGATGGATCTCCCTTGGACTCTGTCTGCACCTTCCCAAAGGAGGAACACCTCACAGTTTGGGCAACTCTAATTTAAGGAAACCTCTTGCTGAATCCACTGTGGAAGTTAACAGCAAAATGTTTTCTCTCTACTCTAAGTTGCAAGAGATACCTATGGCTTTTGGACTCCGAACACCATCAGCCTCAACCTGGAATGCCATTCATCAGGGTTAAAGGAGCTGAAATCTAATCACATTGGGAGGGCTATGGGCTTCATCTCTAGTTAAGATGGTTGCTATTTCAAGAAGGGTGGAGGACAATTTTGCCAAGTTTTAAAGCCAGAATGAATGTATCTTGGGAGCAATTAAGTTTGTATTCAGTCTGATCTATGGGGAGGTGGGAGGAAAGCATCTGTCCCAGAGACATCAGCCTGGCATCTAATATTACTGCAGGTGTTCAACCCTTTTACAGAATCCCTTCTCTCCATGGAAATGGATTTGCCCCACTTGGTTGAAACTGAGGAGGCCATGCCCAAATGTGGATTGATATTCTGAAAAAAAGCTTTCCCTCCTACCTAGGAATGAAATGTTCTGGGGAGATTAAATAAAATGGGATGACAAACACTTCCTCCTTATTTCACAATGACAAGAAAAGTCTAGAAGAATGGTGGAAGTGGATGCTTCCCAACAGTAAGTATTGTTTTAACAATTACACCCTTCAACTTGGCATGAAGGTCTATCAAATCACACTCCCTTGAGTGATTTCTTCAATATTTTTTTTAAAGGAGGCCAATCCAAGTTCTGGATGCTGCTACACTATGCAGTATCTTAAAAGAGGTTCACATTTTAGAACTTAGAATTTAGCAATGTTTTCTTGCCTGCCTCCATCCCCCTTTAGATATTCCTGTTTCAGAATAGCTGGACTGAGGATAGCTTTTTCACCCATTATTACCAGCAACATGAGGCAAATAATATATGAGTCCCTTTTTGTATGATATTTTGGGTGACAGGAAGGTCTTAGTCTAGTGCAGCCCTTGTGAGCAGGTACTTTGTGAAACTAATGATAATTACAGCCATTTCCTTCCTTTAGTTAAAATATGTGCTTTTCCTGCTGATTGCTGCTTCAGGCTGTGAGACTGACTCACCACCAGAGTACAGATACAGAACACACAAAAAGATCTGAGAGATTTACCTCCTGAAAAAGATTAAAAATGTATTTCATCCTATGAATCTTTTTTTTCCTCTGTTTGGCACAAAAGACAGTTCTTGAGCTAAACAAAATTGTTCCAGTTCAGGAAAATCAGGGCAATGCACACACACACCATCCCAAATTTCTGTTGAATTGTAAATCTGCATTACATTACTGATCAGTGGAATGAAAGATCAACAAATCTTTTTAAAAATGGTGATTGCCACTCAAAGGCACTGAGGTCAGTGATCTAACAGCATGGCTGTATTCAAATTCAACACACAGTATCCAGTTTTATATAGAAAATATTCTGGACAAGGACTTGTATGTGCATACTGTAGGTATGTGTGTGCATGTAAATGTAATGTGCTTTGCACTAGGAAAACATCCTATTGTGAACGGATGCCTAATACCAATTCATTGTTACCAATAACTTAGTAGATACTAGACTTGTAAGAAATGACCTTGACTTGATTGAAATTACAGAAGCCATCTGATTGAAGATGGCGTCTCCACTTGGGAAAAATAATTTGTTCCACCTCAGCATTTTGAATCAAATCATAAAATGGGCTGAATGAATCTGGCAGGTTGCTTTGCCAATTGAGCAGAACAAGACCAATAAAGCCTCTTGGAGCAGGTCTATTAAAGCAGAGGTCTCTTTCAGTTTGATGTGGCAAAAAGATGTTTCACCAAACTGAAGCACCTTTTTAAAGCTTTGCACAGGCCGAGGGTTTCGTGCTAGAGGTAGTGCTGCAACCATAAAAAAGCCTGTACCTAAATTTCAATAAGGTCCAGGGCATTTAATTTTTCCTTACCAGGCTTAATTCTAAGTTTTTTTGATCCCATCTCATGATTGTCTGGATTTACACATTTACATTTCTTACAGAAATATTTAGTGTCATTGAGCCATCGTAGAAGTAAAATAGAATGTAACACTTGTCTTTGTTACTGGGGTAGCAGCACAGTGATGGTGACATAGAAGAAGTTGTAAGTAGTGATGGGAAAGATCATACAATGGTGGGAAAGGGAAATAACCTCCCCCCCCCGAATATTTCCTACATTGTCCTGTTGGATATTGCGACTTTGGATCTCAACTCCAAACCCTAAATTCTGCTGCTCTGCCTCCTGTTGAGTCACTGAAAAAAGAGGCTGCCGATGCTGCTAATGTGGGGGAGGTATGTTGGGTCTATGTAAAGCAAGTCAGCCAGTACATGTGTGGGCAGCTTTTTGATTGTATTTCAAGTGCATTTTTGTTAGTGGGGAAGATAAGTGAAATCATAGCAGCAGCTTTCCTGGGAGTGGGAGAAGAGCTATGAGCTTCCTTTTTAATTGTTCTGCTTGCAAGCCATACAGTTGGTGATATGTCTGAAGAAACTGGAGCTGGGGGAGAGGGTGGGAAGGGGAGGGAAGCCACCAATAAAGCTGGCAATTTACTGCGATGATCAAGACTCTCAGCAGGAATAAACAAGCATACAGCAATCGGATTTAATGGAGATGTACTGCCTGGGATTCAGTGGAAGATTCCTTGCACTAATGCAAGGATATGCAACTCCCAGAGTTGCAGGCAGTATATCCCCCTCCAACCCTCCCAAAGTTGCTACAGAGCAGGACTTTTTTTATGTTCTGAAGGGGGGGAAGGGGGAAAGGGGGAAATTATCCAATGCATGGAATAAGATCAAACAATCACCTGTTATTTCCATTAATTACAATGTCTATTCCATTAAATCACATGTAGTTTTTGTTTTGGCTCTGGCCTCTTTCTTGAATGCTGTCCCAGAGTGCATTGTTCCCTCTCCCTGTGAATTGCAATCAAAGCACTGCTTTGTGTGATGGAGAGGGCAGGAGTAGGGAAGTTTTTGGAGTAGGAATGGGGTGGGAATGAGGTTATAACATTTAGGAGAGGCTAAAATGCCTCCTGATTGCTATGGGAGATTTGTGGATCCAGGGCTTGTTGGAGACTGTTCACCTTGGCTACAGTTTCATCTCATTGTTGTGATATAAAATCAGCATTCCTGAAGAAAGAAGACCAGCCCTCTGAAAAGGGTTAGCGATATAGTTGTTATGGGGCCTACTGGGAGCTTGCTCCAGGAGGTTATTTCCTTGCTCCAGGGGAAGATTTGGGCTGAATCTTTCATGAGTTGAGAAGGTGGCTTGTATTCTGACTGGGTCTAGTCTTGTTACAGTCTTAGGAGTGAAAGTGGTCCTGGGTCCGTGGATCAATTATTCACATTTGTAGTTGTCTCCGTGGTGGACAGGTAGGATTGGATCCTCCTCTGTTTTCTGCCTCATTAGATATATGGGTCCCAGTAAGGTTACTGGGGCTGGCCCAGTTTCTTTTCTTGTCCTTAGGTGGAATTTTGGGGGTGTCAAGTTAAGCCAGACCTGTTGCAAGATGGGAGCACATTCCAGAAGCTGCCATCTTGGCTCCTCCTCCCAAATGTGATTTGGGCAGAATCAGAATTCTATTTCCAGGGTTTGGAAGAAGCATTTTGAAATACTGTTGCATACACAATATAAATCCTCTATATTTTTCTCACTGACCTCCATGCCAATATTAATTTCAAACACAGTGTTTTTGGAAAACTTCTTTTTCTCTGATGTACCCTCACTGCCTAAGAAAGTTTACTGAAAATATTTCTGTCTTGCATATTTTATGGGAGGAATAATAATAATAAAAACCACAATGGCCTTCTGAATACTCTCCCTTCCTTGATACTTTTGCTATTCGACAGGCCACCATAATTGGGACTGTCAGTTTTGATTTCCCCCACATTTTTATTTACATTTTTGTTATCTGAGTTTACCTACATTTATGAATTCAGCAAGGACTTCGAAGGAAACAGCAATGTGGCTAATCCTTATCTATGGATAACAAGTTCTATCTGCCATACTGTTGTGAAGCAGGAGGAACCTATAATTCAAAAGAGATTGCAGTCCTATTTCATTGCCACAGACATAGCCGAATATGCCTCATTTTTTGACACTTTATAATGTTTAAAAATCTCCTTTTATACAGTTTAGGCCAGCATTTGAAAATATTGGTAAAATCAGGGGAAAAATTGAATTGGAGAGAAGATACATCTGTCCTTGGCTTTAAACAGACTTGCAGAGTGTAACAAGGAAAGGGGATCAGCTGGAAAGCTATGGTTAGTCCTACAGGTTTGTGAGTGGAACCTGAATTCTGTAGCTTTAGGGTTGGGATGAGGAAACCAAGAGGTGTGGGAAAGGCCAGTGGATGGTGCCAGTAGGTGTCAACATTCACAGGTCTAAAATGCAATATGTACGTGGCCTTGAAATTGCTATATTTTATGCAAAATATCGGATCTAATGTCTTAATGAAACACCTTCAAACCCCTGTTTGATTGAAGAAATCCTGGCTGCTTGCTGAACAATTTTTGGCTCATTTCATTAAATCCTTAGTAATGGTTGCAGCCCATGTCTGTTTGTGGCTGACGCCTGTCTGACAAGGAGGCTGCATGTATTCTGGAGACTCAATAAATGATGAGTTGCAGAGAAAATGGAAAAGTGACCCCACGGTGCCCAATGCATGCAGCAAATGCCGTGCACAAGGATAGTCAAAACAATAAGAGTTGTATGCATGATTTAGATATACTGCAACTACTATGAATAATTTGCTATTCATGATGACAGCATGAATATTAGGGGGCCAAGACACTGACAGTGGATAGTTGCATTTCTCAGTTTGTTGGATGTCAACAAAAACTAAAGAGAGTTGCAGCTTTAAGATACCTCTGAAGGACTTCAAAGTATAGCACAGAAAAGCTGCTCACTTGGATTGTTGTATAGAGACTGGATGTAATCTTTCTGCCCCACAATCTCTAACTGGCATTTGATAAACTTCTTGAGGCGGCATCCTTTCATAACCCAATTTATTTGTGCAGTCTGGTTACTGCAGTGCATTTCTCAATAAACCGCACAAGGTCTGATGTTGTTGCAAAACTCTCAGTACTGCTGAGTCTTCCATGGACTCTTGTCTTAACAGTTCATGGAGTAGCAAGATCAAGGGTGCCTTAGGAGTCAATTATTTACATGGCCTTCATCCAACACAAAATGTTAGATTGTTCTTCAACAGGAATAATCTTACCAAGCGTAATAGTAAATGCTGCTTCTGCTCTCTTTGAGGCGAATTGTGATTTATATCAAACACACACAAACACACACACAAGTATAAATATTTATTATATGTATATGTATATTTAATATATATAAATATTATATCTTATATATGTTGGATATGCCCCAATCCTGGATAGAGCAAGAGGGGGGATAATTGAGAGAGAAAACAAAACCAAAACCAAAATATGCAAAGGATAGCTGAGTTTTGCTTTTGATGTTCCCTACTGGAAATCACTTATTATATGAGAAATAGTTGTGGCAGACTTCTGGTAGAGAAATTATGAATGGAATTGAAAACAGCTCCACTAAAAGCAAAGCTGATGACCACAATGGAATGAAGAGCCAGCAGGTAGAGGCCACTCTT